TGTTAGTGCAGAAGAATCTGCTGAAGCAACAAGATCAGTGAAGCAGTGAAGAGTTCGTGTGTTGCACAGAGGCTGGAAGGAATAATCAGCAAACTAAGGAGAAAAGTTTTCTTGTGACTAGGCACGCCAGGTGGCACCTCAAGTTGGGAACCGCACTACCAGGAAGCGTACGCGGAAAGTCAGGTTCGGAAAACAAGGAGGTCTGACACAAGTGCACAAAGTCAAGGTGCAAGTGGGTTTACTTACTGTTGATCAAAGGTTGATGGGACTGATGATCTAACATCAACAAGAACAGTTCTGTTGCCCTTTCATATTAAGGGGGAGCTGTTTTTAGGGCTATAGGAGTTGCTGTTGCTACTACTATAAAAGGAGGGGGTATAGTTCATATGCCGACTAGTTCTTCCGAAAAGATCTTTGAAGAACTCATAAACAGTGAGAGTCATTTGATCTGTTGTGTTGAGTGAAAGAGATAGGTTTCATAACTGTTGTTGCGTTACATTTGGTAGATTAGGAATATGTTCATGAGCGAATCACGTGTGTGTGATGTCGCGTAACTCTAGGTAGAACAGGTTGTAGGATATGTTCTATAGAAGTGTTTGTGTAATCTATCTGTTTCAACAGCTGTGTTGTGTATCAGTTGTTGTGCCCTGCGGGGAAAGCAATAAAGATTGAGTGATTTTATTGGAAACTTCCTGTTTCATTTACATATCTCTCTTTTAGTATCTTGTGCAAAGGTTCATGCTTTTTCACCACCTTTATCGCCTCAACCTCTTATCCATAGTTTCCAACAATTCCAACTTATAATATTATTTAATTAATATGATTTTTCGTATTTTGCATTTTCTTATATTATATTTGAATAACTCAAGGTAAGAGAACAAATTAGAAAATCAGTTGTAATTTTCAAAATTAAGTACATAATGAATATAATAATATCATAAAATATTTACATATAGAAACTTTTAAATTGAAAAAATGAGTTGAATGAAGATTTATATGAAACTAATAAAATAAATGAGACTCTTACGTTAGAAAATCAATCTAATATAATATTGTAAGGTTTTTTCTAAATGAAACTTTGAGAAGCTGCCACATGTCACTTTTGGTGTTAAATTTTTTTCATTTCTAGTACCTTAGTTTTACTTAATTTTGAAATCTACCCCTCTAGATTTTATAATTTTTGCATTAATTTTTTAAAGTAAAAATGTGATATTAATATATTAACTTAAAGTAGACAATTAATTAACATCAAATTATCTTCATAAACTAATTAAACATGTAAAACCATATTCTAATAGATAAATGTTTTTTTCAATATATCTTTTCAAATTCTTTAAAATTTTCTTTTAAAACTTCCGAAAACTATAATATTTAACTTTTTAAAATATTTTCATAGCTTTTAAACTCAATTTACTAATTTAACTATCACAGTCTAATGCAAATGAAAAAATTTGCGTCAGACAAGGTAACTTTCGTAACCAAACTCTCGAAAAAAAACTTCACTCCACCACACATTGTAAATCCAGAAAAATAGAATTACTTCACCAATAAATTAATAAAAAGATAAAAATCACAGCAAAACGATAAATAGAGTGAGACAAGAATACAATCAAATATCAATTATTCTCTCTTTATGATTCAATGTTCTAATAAAATAAATAAAAATATGCATTCCAACATCTCTGTTGAGATGATATAAATGTCCCGGTAGAAGCAAAGCAGACGTATACATATTTGATGCAAAAATAAAAAATGACCAATAATGTTTTCAGGAAACCGTAGTGAATATTGATTTAGACATTCAAGTTAAGGATTTGTGCCATAGAAGATGTTTTCCATATGCTATAATTTTTTATCAATAAACGGTCTACTTCTTTTTTTTATTTAACATTGTATATATCAAACAATTTGTTACAAATGTTTAGTCTTCTAACTTAAATAATTTTTACTATAAATACCAAATTTATATAATATTAAATACACAACTAATCAATAACTATAAAATTTTAATATTAATTTTAGCCATGTTAATTTTTACCCACGTAACGCGTGAGCAATTCCTAGTTTATTATAAAAAAGGCTTTTACCATTGAGCTGCTATGACTTTTACCGATGAGAAGAAATCGAAATCGAGTGAGAGAAAGAAAGAAATCGAGGGTTTTAGATTATCAATTGTGTTATAAAAATCGTTTACTAATTAAAGTTATATAAACAACGTTGTACGGAATATAGCATAAGTCATTACAGTTCAATGGTAAAACCTTGTTTATGAAATGCAAGTCAAGGGTGTTCGAACTGCCCCTATCCTTTAAAAAAAAAATGGAAACGACGTAGAATAGTTAACACCTCTAATTCATTTTGTTAATGAATGGCGTAACTTTGAAATTTGGAGATTTAAATGATCTTTTTCATAGAAAAAACTCAATAAAAGGATGGAAGCACACAAGTAA